AATTTGTATTACATTCTTTATAATTTCCTCTGATCTACAATTTACTCCCTAATTCACTTTTTTATGAAAGTAGCATTTCATTATAGCATTATATGTTTCAGTTGTGCATCTTCGAGAGTTAACATGTATAGATACTACATTAAGTTTAGCAATAAAAAGTTCAATTCTATCCTTCACCCTACCATCATCCTCTTTGTCCCAATTTATTTATTCCTCCCCCCTTCCTTTCTGGTAACCTCTAATTGGTCTTATAACCCAAAAGTTTATTTTCATTTTATTTAGTTCATCCGCTTGTTTGTTTTCTCTATATGCCACATATGAATGAAATCATGCAGTGTTTGTTTTTCCTCTATCTGGCTTACTAAGCATAATATGCTCTAGTTCTTTCCATGCTATTGCAAATGGAAGGATTTCATCTTTCTTTATAGCTGAATAATATTGATGGGCACTTAGGTTGTTTCCAGCTCTTGGTTACTGTAAATAAATTCACAAAAAAACAAAGGGGTATATATGCTAATTCTTTTTTCTGACATGTCTATCTACTGAGTAGTAGTGGTAGTGGTAGTAGTAGTAAAATTACTATTATTACTAAATTTTCTGTTTAGTTATTTTACCAACATGTTAGGTCACTTTTAAAAATAATCTCTGGAAGTTTCTCTCAAGTTTTCGTTCATTCCTACATAGTTGTTTTGTAGTCTGGGGGTGGGCGGAGGGCTGTTACTGCTAGTAGTTGTTCAAGTACTCATGATACCTTGTTACAGTGTATACACAGTCACTTAATTTCATGCTGCTCATTACCCTTGAAAATGACACCTAGGGATGCCTTGATGCCTAGGATGGAATTGCCTTCCTCCAGAAAGGGTTTGCATTTGCTTCTTCCACCTCCTTAAATCAGGTTTAAGATTTATAAGGACAACTTTTCACCGACTCATTTCCCTGCTTTCTCTTCTAGGTTTCAACTGCTTTAAAGCAGGGGCATTTCTCATCATTCTTTATGGACAGTACACTCCTAAGCACATGAAAATTGATAAATGTTAGCTGAGTAAATCTTTGATTTATCACACCTACCTTATTATTTTCTCTGTCTTATTTTCATTTAGTGAGTTAAAAAGATCGCTCTGTATTGAATATCATTTCCGATGGAGTGTACTTTCTTCAAGGCATTGCTATGTCTTCTGTCCTTTGTAAATCCCCCATGTTCTCTGCCACATGGAAGTGATTGCTTGGTAAATATTTGCTTTCAGGGTAAGACTTCCTATATATCCCATGTTTCTGCCTATGAGTGAATCAAACCACACACTTATGGGATTCCTCAGACTTTATATGGATACAGTGTTCCTCAGTTTATCTCAGGCAATGACCCCCTAAGACTCCAAGATCCTTAGTGAAATTACTACTAATATTGTTTTCCACTGGTATAGCCAGTTTCACTTTCCAGTCCTCTTGAAAGCTGACCCCTGGTCCTGCCATCCTTTTGGTCTTAGACTATGTGGCTATCACTGTCTATAAAGTGATGGCTTTATAGCATTAAACCTACTAGCTTCCCATGTTGCATCCTTCACCAAGGTGGGGTAGACAGATTTCATGAGACAATATGATCTGTGATTTTTGGGGAAATCACTTGTTAGCCATGTGCCTCCATATAAGTTAAATGTCTGGACATTGGCATGCTGATGTATAAAATGACACTAGTCTTGCAAAGGACAAGCTATGTAAAGCTCTTAGTCTCAATGGAATTAGAATAGTCCTAGCAAAGTCTGAAAGGCAGAGTTATTTTTTCTTTTATTGCTTTTGGATACATGGATACTCAGCAAATGAAAGATCCATTACTCATTTCTTCTCTGGATCTTAGTTTTCACACACACACACACACACACACACACACACACACACACACAGTTATTTTGAAATTCAGTGTGAGAAGACAGGTAAACCATCTGATTCTTTACTTGCTGTATCATTAGGTATGTGATAAATTTTCCTTCTTTATCTTCTTTCCAAATAGAGATCCAAATTTCCATTCCAGTGGAATCACAATAAAAAATTGTAAACCACAGTACATTATAAAAATACAACTGTAGTTATTAGTTCTATTTTTAAAAATAATAGCTAAGGCCTCCCTGGTGGTGCAAGGGTTTAAGACACAACCTATGAAGCTGTCCGCAGCCATTGCAGCACGAGTTCAATCCCAGGCCAGAGAGCTACCCACATGACGCAGCAGACCTCTCCTGGCTCGCCCGCTGCTCCCCTCAGCAGTGTATTTCAGTCAGTCTGCCTGTTCTGTTCCTCACTCTGTCTCTGGTGAGTCCTCTCACCCCCCACATCTCTGGCCTGTACCACAATTCTTGTATGCATAAATAAATCTTTTAAAAAAATAGCTACACTTTTTAAGACCACATTGAAATGCTACTTTCTCTTTAAAGCCTCCCTGGATTTTCACTTTCATAATCCTCATCCACTACTCCAGCTAAAAGACCAATATTGCATAAAGAGGAGAGTCTTCAAGCCATCTCAGCTCATACTTGAATTTCCTAGATTTCCATAAGTATAACTCCACAATGTGCAAAACAGTGTTCTAGTTTCTGCTAACCACTTTTAGAGATGAAAATTTCCGTATCTTCAAAAAAGATCCTGTTTATTCCTGCTTTGAACAGATTAAATCTGTCCCCCTAAGTTTTCTGCATTTGTTTTTAGGTATGTTTGTGTTCCTTTTAAATATATTGCCCAGAAATAAGCAATATCCCTTAAAATACACTCCCTGTGAATCACCTTTCTTCATTAACCACAACCTGTGCTAGCAGTTTTGTGCCAAACATGAAGCTGTGTTCTCCTAATTGTATTTATATTCAGTTAAAACCTTTGATATCTTCTTTTCAAATAGGTGTTAAAGCCCATATTCTCTGTCTTGAGTTAATATGGCTGGGTTTTTTTTTTATATCTATGATCAGACCCCTTAATATAGCATGCATCTGGGTTATGTTTGGTTTTCTAATTAAATTGTTGTGAACCTAATCTCATGTTCCTAGATCTATTTTACTCATAAGTTCTTCCTAAGTACATATTTTTTTCCTGTTAATACAAGTCATTCTGCTTTGTGCCATAGTTTAGGTACCTGTATTAGGTCACTGTCTCAGGCCGGCTTCCATAGAAGCAGAGCTTCTGTCTGGGGAGTGGGGCAACAACTCTATCGTCTCCAGTTTGGTGGCCTCTTTTGAGCCAAGAGCTGTTTTCCAAAGCAGAAAGAAGCCATGAGTTGTCCTCAGCCAACACTCAGAAGCTGGGCTGGCAAAGGGATCTGATGGGACCCCAACAGCATCCATGACCGTCGCCCATGATTTTGCAGCTCTTTAGAATGGAAACTGCATATTATTTCTTTTTGAAGTCACCATAAACCTGTCTGCATTTCTTTTTTTTAAATTAATTTTTATTTATTTTTTTACTGGCTTCATGTCTTGCACAGTGAAGGTGCTAGGTTGTGGAAATGATCATCAGAGATCTGGAAGAAATCCCCCCTAGCCTGAACTCATTCCAGTCAACTGCCATTTATAATACAAATATTGGGCCTCCCTGGTGGCACAAGGGGTTAAGACGCAACCTATGAAGCTGTCCGCGGCCTCTGCAGCACGAGTTTGACCCCCAGCCGGGGAGCTACCCACATGGTGCAACAGACCTCTCCTGACTCATCCACTGCTCCCCTCAGCAGTGTACTTCAGTCAGTCTGCCTGTTCTGCTCCCCACTCTGTCTCTGGTGAATCCTCTCACCCCTTACATCTCTGGCCTGTACCCCAGCTCTTGTGTGCAAAAATAAATAAATCTTTTTTTAAGAAAAGTTGATGTTTAAAAATATATATAATACAAATATCCATAGAAATTTAGTCAAATTCTACCCCATCCCCATACACACAAACAGCACAGAGCCAACTGAAAGGGTGACAGAGAGAAGGGTGGATATGAGTTTTTATTGTATGTTCCAAGACTAGCTGCTCTGCCAACTCAAAAGTTGTTGAAGAACCAAATGCTCAAATCAGAGTAGGCAAATAATTTCTTAAGATCAAGGTAAATATATCCAAGAGAATTTCAGTCTGTTCTACTTAGCTCTTAAACTACGTTTTTTTTAATTTTGGAAAAGCAATCTATGCATGCAGCTACTCATATGTATATGCATAATATGAAAGGTTAATAAATGAATAGTAAAGGTCTGTTTCTTCATCATGACTCTTATTTACACTCTCCAGAACTAACTATTGTTAGCATTTTGTGCTTCTATGCATAAATAGTTGTTGATATATAAGTGTATATATATTTATGATTTTATGTATAAAGATTATAGTATATGTACTTCTCTTTTTTAATTAATAGATTTTATAGCTATTTCTATGTCACATATCTATATCTGTGTCATTTTAGAATTTTTATGACTTTTCTAAATGACTGTATAGATGTTTTACAATTTATTTAATTTGCCCTCTTTTTAGCAGACTTTAATTTGCTCCTGATTTTAGATCTATAAATAATGTTTCTGTCATTATAGATTTTGCCATTACAGAATAAATGTTCTTCTTATGTATTTCTTTGCATATATGTTTTTATTATTGTTAAATTGAAAAGCCTTTCTTCTCAACAACAACCAAAAAAATGCTGTAATATATAATGTGACTTCTAGATTCTATACATCCATATTGAATAATTGTATTTTTCAGCTGCAGTTAAGCTTTCTCATTTATCTTTACCCACTTGTTTTTCAGCACCTTTCCCAGAAAGCAACATATAATCAGAAAAAAGTTGTCATAGTTGAAAACTGCTGAAAATAATTCTCAAGTTCAGGTCATTACAATGTCTAGTTCTAAAAGTCACTTTGGTATATAATTTAAATAACAGAATATTTTCAGAGGAAGAGAAATTCAGAACCAACTTAAGAGTTTTTTAAAACAGCAGACAGACTTTCCAGAAATTCAGCCCAGTTATACTTAAAAGTGTTTACTGTTGTCTTTTCCATGCAGTGAAGTACATGCGAGAAGCCACACCCTATGTGAAGAAAGGCTCCCCAGTATCCGAGATTGGGTGGGAAACGCCTCCTCCTGAGTCCCCTCGGTTAGGGGGCGGCTGCTCAGACCCTCCGTCCTCGCAGTCCTTCTCGTTCCATAGAGACCGGAAAAGCATCCCCCTCAAGATGTGCTACGTCACTCGGAGTATGGCCTTGGCTGACCCTGAGAACAGGTAAAGAGAACCAGAGCTCTCCTCAACACCCCAGCAACTCTGTGGCCTCTGAGGAGATTAAAAGGGGGCTGTGCAAGCCAGACAACTCCTGGCTGTCCTCTTCCATCCTTCTTTCTCTCTTTCACGCTCATGAACTAGCTGTATCCTGAGCGCAGGTTCTGGTCATGGCTGATGAATTAGAATCAGCTTGTTGGGCCTGTCATTGTCGGGGTATGTGACTTGCGGGCAAGTTTCTCAAACCACTGAACCTTTGTTTTGTCACCTGTGAGATGGAAATAATCGAATTTATTGATCCCTCATTGGGTTGTGAGATTTTTTTTTTTTAAGATTTATTTATTTATACAAGCACTGGGTACAGTCAGAAGCGCGGGAGGTGAGAGAATTCACCAGAGCCAGAGCAGGCAGAAGGACCGAAGTACACTGCTGAGGGGAGCAGCGGGCGGCAGGAGAGGTCTGCGCGCCATATGGGACCCTCCTCTGGTGGCCGGGGAGCAGCCGGGGATCGAACCGGCGCCTCAGAGGCTGCAGGCAGCTTCGCAACCCAGCGCTCAACCCTGAGCCACCAGGGAGGCCCTGGATTGTGAGATTTAAGTGAGGAAATCAGTGTGAAATTCTTAGCATAAATATAAGATGCAGATTATTAACACAATAGCAGTAAGCAAGCCCACCTCTCTGGCCCTCTGTCGTTCAGCTGCGCACTTAGAGGGCTTGAGGAGGGGTCCTTAGCACTGTTTTCTGCTCGAGCCTCTCGTTATACTCAAGAGGGCAAAAAGGAGTGACTTTGGCCCAAGGCTGCTGTGTACTTTTCCAAAGTCTGCGCATGAGTTCACATGACACAGGATATACATCACCCAGTACTAAGACAACCAGCCAGGAGGAGTAAATATTTGGGGTCCCTCATCCCCAAAATATCTTATTAGCCTATCTGAGCCGAAAACAACATACATCTTGAAGGAAAATAAGAGCTATGCAGAGAAGAGAGAAAGTAATTGAGCCAGCAAATGGGGAATCTTAGTGACCTTTGCATCCACATTAAAATGCTAAAAATAGGAGCAACTCTACTGGCGTTTATTCATAACATGTGTGGGACAGCTGCAACCCACCCCAGCAGGAAGGATTTGGCTGGGCTCAGAGTAGCTGATGGGGAAAAGCCAAAGGGAATAGAGGCCAGGAGAAAGTTGTCTCTTTGGCTCCAGCTCAGTACTTTTTTGTTCTCTTCCCAGTAAGCTCACTCTAAGGAGCTGCTGCAGCCCTTCTGATTCCAGCCAGCTCCTCACCCCTCCTAGGTCAGTTATATCTGCACAGGGACATGCACGGAGACCCAGAGAGTATTACAAATGATGTGTCGGGGCAGGCGGATGGGGCAGAAGGCAGAATTCCTTCAGGAGCCCCTCCTCTCTGCTCAGTTTCCTCCACCTCTGTTTCTGCCGATTTTCTGGGCCCACAGGTGATGTCCTGGTTACTCTGAGTTTCCACTTCCCTATCCTATCAAATGAGTCTTTTTTCCAAGAATCTGATGTCTAAGGTTTCCAATCTGATGAATTCATAATTTATCAAGTGCCTATCTAGTGTGAGGCATTATGCTAATTGCCCCAGACTGGTGAATGCAAAGTGGCAGCTCACAGGTGTAATCAGCCCATGTATATGTTTCCTAAATGGTCTATCCAGTATTTTAAAGAAATCTGAATTCATTGCCCATTGAATAATTGGGAAATTTTCTATTAAAAAGCCAGATTTCTGCTTTTTTAGAAAAATGGGAAGATGTGATGATTTATTAGCCCCGTGGTGTTGCAGGCAGGACTCCAAGCTGCAGGAACCTAGTAGAGGCTTCTCCTTTGACAAGAAAGGGAACTCTCCTGTCATTTTTACTGCTTTACCTTCAAGGGATCCAGCAAATTACCTGCCTAGTTCTCCACTTTTCCTGCCTAGTCCTTGAACTTGTAATGTTCTTAGTCCTCTTAAAAGCCTTCTGAGTTTCTCACATTTTCCTCATTCTACAGTTTAAAAAACAGGCTCAGTACCTCTAGAAGCTCCAACACCTTAAACTAACATGTAACTGGACTTCAAATTCATCCCTCTAGAATGGATGGTGGCATCAGTTTGCCAGTATCAGAAACATATAAAGAGATCAGAAAACATAGAATCTTTTAGAAGTGATTAATGTATTGGGGAGAGAGTTCAAGTAGATGATTTTTAGGGTTCATTCCAGCTGTGGGCTTTTAATGCTCTAACTTTTCTTGTACTTATTTATATCTTAAATAATATTTTACAATAAATCATATACAATATTATCAACCAGTGTTGTCTCAATCAAACAATAAAATTATATAAAGAAAGAATATTTTGGGATGCATCAAACCTTAGCTCAAATATTGGAAACTTCTTTATGTGTTTGCAGCCAGTAGCAGAGAATGTGGTTTTAATCTTTCATATTGATACTCTTCCCATCCATCATGGATGACTGAGTGTAGGGCCTCCCAGGTGGGCAGGGGGAAGCTGTCTTGCTAGGGTGTTGGAACTCAGAGGTCAGGACTGAATGTGAGAATCCTGCTAAGATAGAAGGGCCCAGGAGGATGCTTCAGTCCAGACCAATCCAAACTGTTGCTAATAAGTTTAAGGGCTGAGCTGAGTCTTTACCCTGGCTGAGGGAGACAATTAAAAAGAAAAGTCTTTTTGGGCCTCCCCTGGTGGCACAGCGGTTGAGTGCTGGGCTGCGTGAGGTTGCCCACAACCTCTGTAGCACCAGTTCGATCCCCGGCCGCTGGCAAGGGTCCCACAAAAAAAAAAAAAAAAAAGAAAGAAAGAAAGAAAGAAAGAAAGAAAGAAAGAAAGAAAAGTCTTTTTGCACAATGTGTGCATTTTCATCTTGGTTATATTCCCCAAACAATTCCCACCCCACCCCCTTATTTTGACCCTAATCCCTCCCCCCCACCCCCCGTAGTATGTCTCTGGTTTATAGTTGCTTGTTGATTTTGATTTTTACTTTATTATTAGTCTTTTTCCTGGTCCCTTAGTTAGGTTTTCTAAATTCCTGCTATGAGTGCATACATTGTGCAAAAATGAAAAATGATGTAAAAAATATATAAAATAGAAAAAGTAGTATATTTCTTTTAGATTGGGGTGAAGGTAAATGAACACATCATATAATGTTATTAACCAAGGTTTACTCAATAAACATTGGAAAAATGTGAAAAAAAGAAAAAGAAAAGAAAAATCTTATGGTATTCTGGTTACATGTTCAGCAAAGTGGAATGTATAGATCAGAAATGTGGGCTCTGCAAAATCCAGTGTTGCTGAATACAAGAGAAATGTCTGAGAGTGACTTTTTTTTTTTTTGCCTACTGATAGGTAAATAGCATCTCATCATTTTTTTTTCTTTTTACAAAGGTTTTTATTTTTAAAGATATAGGAATGGGCTAAGCATTCCAGGCAAATGCAAACTCATAAGAATAAGCATGGGTTTTGACCTTCATATATGACATGGTAAAATGCAGACTAAAAAGCACAAAACAAGTCAAAGCAGGTCTAATTTTATGGTAGTGGCCAGAGTTCATGAGGAATACGCAACAATTATGCATCCACACCAAAGGACATGACAGGGGCCTGTATAACAGAAACTGCAGAAACACACTAATATTAGGTCATTTAACGTATTTCTTTCAGTCTAAGACAGGGCAAGGGGACAAAATATAAATAAAAATGTAAAAGATCCAAACAACAAAGTCAATAAGGGAAATTGGCTGCATGGCAAACTTGGTACTCTGATAATAAAGAATACACTTTTTTTTTCAAACTCACATAGAACATTCAAAAAATTAATCTTAGATTAGGTCACCAGAAAATGCAATAAGTTCTATGACGCAGAAACAATATAACAAAATCCTCTGATAGTAGTGGCATAAAACTAAGAAATCAGGGCCTCCCTTGTGGTGCAAGGGGTTAAGTCTCAGCACTATGTAGCTATGGGCAGCCCCTGCAGTATGAGTTCTTTTTTTTTTTTTTTAATCAGGAAATTCCTGATTTCTTTATTTTTTTTTAGATTTTTTTTTTTATTTATACAAGAACTGGGGTACAGGCAGAGGCATGGGAGGGTGAGAGAATTCACCAGAGACAAAGTGGGGAGCAGAACAGGCAGATTGGACCGAAGACACTGCTGAGGGGAGCAGTGGGTGAGGCAGGAGAGGTCTGCTGCGCCATATGGGTTTCTCCCTGGCTGGCCGGGAATCAAACCCGCGCTGCAAAGGCTCAGACAGCTTCACAGTGCAGCGCTCAACTCGCTGTGCCACCGGGAGGCCCTGCAGTATGAGTTCAATCCCCAGCCAGGGAGTAACCCACATGGCGCAGCAGACCTCACCTGCCTCACCCTCTGCTCCCCTCAGCAGTGTATTTCAGTAGATCTGCCTGTTCTGCTCCCCACTCTGTCTCAGGTGACTCCTCTAACCTCTCAGCACCTCTGACCTATACCCCAGCTCTTGTATGCAGAAATAAATAAATCTTTGGGGGAAAAAACTAGGAAATCAGTAATGCGGATAAACCAAAGAAAGTCTTTCTTTGTGGATTTTTGAGAGTTCCCTATTGAATAATTCTTAGGTCAAAGGGGAAACATATGCTGAATTTGAACATTTATTAAAAAAATAATGCATATATTAAATATGAAAGAGAAAGAAGGGAGAGTGTGCACTCTGGAGTCAGCTAGACCCAGAATGGAATTTTAGTTCCACCACTTTTTGTGAATTTAAGCAAGTATCTTATTAATTCAAATAGCAACCCTAGGGAGTAGGCATTCTAATCCGTATTTTATAGACAATGAAACTTAGTTCAGAAATGAGAGGTGAAGCAAATGGTGGATTCAAACTCAGACTTGGCTGACCCCAAGCCCAATTTCTTAATCACAGTGCCTCATTGCTTCTGACAGGCAACTAGGAGAAGAGTTCGCCTTGACAGTAAGCACCAGGACCAAGAGTTAATGATCTCTTGCATGTTAAAACCTGAGAGCTGAT